TTCATTCCAGTGTGTGTGTGGCAGAGCTCGGGCAGAGAAATTTTCTATGCCCTCGGGATAGGGCCGTGCCGACCTCTGTTTTAAAGTAAGCCCTAGATAGAATCCATACCAAAAACAGACCTGAAGAATAAGGATAGTATAGGGTATATCTGATCTCATTGCTCTCACACTGGTTCGATTTGAACGTTTCAAACTTTCATCGTTCCAAAGATGTTACGATTTAAAAATATAATTCTCTCTTTCCCTCTTTAATCTGCCAGACGTTTGTAGTGGAACCCGCTCTCAAATGTTTTCATTTTTATAGCGGGTTCCACGACGGAAAAAATGAAAACATCTGAGAGCGGGTTCCACGACGCGGCCTGCCAAAATGCCGTAGAACCCGCACTTATAGACATTTTTAAAGCGGGTTCAACTACGAACTGAGACGATGTTAAGGCGATTTTAAAATTTTGTATATTTTTTTAATAGAATTTATATTTAAATAAACACATTAAAAGAATAAAAATATAATATAAATAGATTTAAAATGTAAAAAAATGGATGTCCCGAGCCTGGTTTGAACTCGTTTTACTTTGCACATCAGCCAAGCACTCTACCACTCGGCTATTCCTCATTCTTTGTCGCGCGAAAAATTTCTCAAACTTAACTTGTCGCGCTGTGGAACCCGTTCGTTCCAGCGGGTTCCAGCGCTGGAACCCACCATAGAAAATTTTTCTTTGTATGAGATGTCCTGTCCCATCTGTGTACTTTATAATCATTGGTATGATTTACATTTTTTGGTATGTCGTATGCATATAAAATTTTTATACAGAATGTGTCCAACTACGACAAAGTTCGTATCATCGCTCTTTATGTGATGATTAAAAATGGAATTTCGGAGGAAAATCTAACTAAACTCTTTACACACGCCCAGTTGTCCTCTAAAGATCAGGATATGGTCAGAAATCTGAGTTATTTGGGAATTAATGTCATTGCTGATGTAAGTAAAGTCATATTTTTTTAAACGCAAATAAAAGCTAGTTAATTATTCTTTTCAGTCACGAAAAAAGTTGTACTCTGTTCCACGAAAGGAAAGGATAACAGAAAGTACCTATCAGATGTCTCGTTGGACACCAGTAATAAAAGACATCATGGAGGATTGCATAGAAGATAAGCTAGATTTGCGTCATTTTCCTTTTCTTGAAGACCGAGCACAAAATACTAATTACCACGCGCCAACGAGTGCTCGATACGGCCACTGGCATAAAGACAAAGGCCAGACACAAGTCAAAAATGTTCCCAGACTTATCGTATTTGTTGTTGGCGGTGTAAGTATGTCTGAAATGAGATGTGCTTACGAAGTTACCAATTCAGTTCGCAATTGGGAAGTATTGGTGGGCTCTTCGCACGTATTATCTCCTGAAATCTTTTTAAGTGATTTGGGAAGTCTTTCAAAGGAAGATTAACTAGTTTTATTTAGCATTGAAAAAATATAAACCTATTTACGATTTAGAATTGTTTTAGAAGTTTAATATATTGTACACTATATTATTCTTAAAAAAATATTTAAAAAATATGCATACTCCTATTCAAGTCAAATATGCAATTCAACTAAAGCTTTGATGGCGTGTTGTACTCCAGTATTTATAACTTTCATCTATAGATTATCTTACTTAAATTCTTTGTTACTTGAAATAAAATCAATATATATAAAATTTTCGTGTCACAGTTTTTATTACCATACTCCTCCGAAACGGCTATACCGACTCTCATGAAATTTTGTGAGCGTATTTAGTAATATCGTATTGATGAGCGTATTATCCTCTTAAATCCTGTTCGACATACCAAAAATCGCATATAATATGAGTTACTACCTCATCATACTGAAAAACTCACGCTACCATAGAACATAAACTCAATTTAAAAGGGGAAACATTCTTAATTATTAGGTAAATACATTAATTCTAGTTGTGAGTGTTTTGTACAGTGAACAATGCCAAGGAAACGCGAAGTGGGTAATTTGATCAATTTTAGAATAGCGCAATTGTGTTAAGAAGAGCCAGAAGATACACGAGCTGAACGCAATGTCAGAAGATTAGAGCAACGACAATCACGTCGTTTCACAGTCAATAGACGCAGAACAAATGACCAACAACGACAACAGGAACATCGAGCATTTATATCTGATTCATTCCTGCGTCTAGCGTGTGATTCATTCCAGTGTGTGTGTGGCAGAGCTCGGGCAGAGAAATTTTCTATGCCCTCGGGATAGGGCCGTGCCGACCTCTGTTTTAAAGTAAGCCCTAGATAGAATCCATACCAAAAACAGACCTGAAGAATAAGGATAGTATAGGGTATATCTGATCTCATTGCTCTCACACTGGTTCGATTTGAACGTTTCAAACTTTCATCGTTCCAAAGATGTTACGATTTAAAAATATAATTCTCTCTTTCCCTCTTTCATCTGCCAGACGTTTGTAGTGGAACCCGCTCTCAAATGTTTTCATTTTTATAGCGGGTTCCACGACGGAAAAAATAAAAACATCTGAGAGCGGGTTCCACGACGCGGCCTGCCAAAATGCCGTAGAACCCGCACTTATAGACATTTTTAAAGCGGGTTCAACTACAAACTGAGACAATGTTAAGGCGATTTTAAAATTTTGTATTATTTTTTAATAGATTTTAAATTTAGATAAACACATTAAAAGAATAAAAATATCGTTCGTTCCAGCGGGTTCCAGCGCTGGAACCCGCCATAGAAAATTTTTCTTTGTATGAGATGTCCTGTCCCATCTATTTACTTTATAATCATTGGTATGATATACATTTTTTGGTATGTCGTATGCATATAAAATTTGTATACAGAATGTGTCCAACTACGACAAAGTTCGTATCATCGCTCTTTATGTGATGATTAAAAATGGAATTTCGGAGGAAAATCTAACTAAACTCTTTACACACGCCCAGTTGTCCTCTAAAGATCAGGATATGGTCAGAAATCTGAGTTATTTGGGAATTAATGTCATTGCTGATGTAAGTAAAGTCATATTTTTTAAACGCAAATAAAAGCTAGTTAATTATTCTTTTCAGTCACGAAAAAGTTGTACTCTGTTCCACGAAAGGAAAGGATAACAGAAAGTACCTATCAGATGTCTCGTTGGACACCAGTAATAAAAGACATCATGGAGGATTGCATAGAAGATAAGCTAGATTTGCGTCATTTTCCTTTTCTTGAAGATCGAGCACAAAATACTAATTACCACGCGCCAACGAGTGCTCGATACGGCCACTGGCATAAAGACAAAGGCCAGACTCAAGTCAAAAATGTTCCCAGACTTATCGTATTTGTTGTTGGCGGTTTAAGTATGTCTGAAATGAGATGTGCTTACGAAGTTACCAATTCAGTTCGCAATTGGGAAGTATTGGTGGGCTCTTCGCACGTATTATCTCCTGAAATCTTTTTAAGTGATTTGGGAAGTCTTTCAAAGGAAGATTAACTAGTTTTATTTAGCATTGAAAAAATATAAACCTATTTACGATTTAGAATTGTTTTAGAAGTTTAATATATTGTACACTATATTATTCTTAAAAAAAATATTTAAAAATATGCATACTCCTATTCAAGTCAAATATGCAATTCAACTAAAGCTTTGATGGCGTGTTGTACTCCAGTATTTATAACTTTCATCTATAGATTATCTTACTTAAATTCTTTGTTACTTGAAATAAAATCAATATATATAAAATTTTCGTGTCACAGTTTTTATTACCATACTCCTCCGAAACGGCTATACCGACTCTCATGAAATTTTGTGAGCGTATTTAGTAATATCGTATTGATGAGCGTATTATCCTCTTAAATCCTGTTCGACATACCAAAAATCGCATATAATGTGAGTTACTACCTCATCATACTGAAAAACTCACGCTACCATAGAACATAAACTCAATTTAAAAGGGGAAAAATTCTTAATTATTAGGTAAATACATTAATTCTAGTTGTGAGTGTTTTGTACAGTGAACAATGCCAAGGAAACGCGAAGTGGGTAATTTGATCAATTTTAGAATAGCGCAATTGCGTTAAGAAGAGCCAGAAGATACACGAGCTGAACGCAATGTCAGAAGATTAGAGCAACGACAATCACGTCGTTTCACAGTCAATAGACGCAGAACAAATGACCAACAACGACAACAGGAACATCGAGCATTTATATCTGATTCATTCCTGCGTCTAGCGTGTGATTCATTCCAGTGTGTGTGTGGCAGAGCTCGGGCAGAGAAATTTTCTATGCCCTCGGGATAGGGCCGTGCCGACCTCTGTTTTAAAGTAAGCCCTAGATAGAATCCATACCAAAAACAGACCTGAAGAATAAGGATAGTATAGGGTATATCTGATCTCATTGCTCTCACACTGGTTCGATTTGAACGTTTCAAACTTTCATCGTTCCAAAGATGTTACGATTTAAAAATATAATTCTCTCTTTCCCTCTTTAATCTGCCAGACGTTTGTAGTGGAACCCGCTCTCAAATGTTTTCATTTTTATAGCGGGTTCCACGACGGAAAAAATGAAAACATCTGAGAGCGGGTTCCACGACGCGGCCTGCCAAAATGCCGTAGAACCCGCACTTATAGACATTTTTAAAGCGGGTTCAACTACGAACTGAGACGATGTTAAGGCGATTTTAAAATTTTGTATATTTTTTAATAGAATTTATATTTAAATAAACACATTAAAAGAATAAAAATATAATATAAATAGATTTAAAATGTAAAAAATGGATGTCCCGAGCCTGGTTTGAACTCGTTTTACTTTGCACATCAGCCAAGCACTCTACCACTCGGCTATTCCTCATTCTTTGTCGCGCGAAAAATTTCTCAAACTTAACTTGTCGCGCTGTGGAACCCGTTCGTTCCAGCGGGTTCCAGCGCTGGAACCCACCATAGAAAATTTTTCTTTGTATGAGATGTCCTGTCCCATCTGTGTACTTTATAATCATTGGTATGATTTACATTTTTTGGTATGTCGTATGCATATAAAATTTTTATACAGAATGTGTCCAACTACGACAAAGTTCGTATCATCGCTCTTTATGTGATGATTAAAAATGGAATTTCGGAGGAAAATCTAACTAAACTCTTTACACACGCCCAGTTGTCCTCTAAAGATCAGGATATGGTCAGAAATCTGAGTTATTTGGGAATTAATGTCATTGCTGATGTAAGTAAAGTCATATTTTTTAAACGCAAATAAAAGCTAGTTAATTATTCTTTTCAGTCACGAAAAAAGTTGTACTCTGTTCCACGAAAGGAAAGGATAACAGAAAGTACCTATCAGATGTCTCGTTGGACACCAGTAATAAAAGACATCATGGAGGATTGCATAGAAGATAAGCTAGATTTGCGTAATTTTCCTTTTCTTGAAGATCGAGCACAAAATACTAATTACCACGCGCCAACGAGTGCTCGATACGGCCACTGGCATAAAGACAAAGGCCAGACTCAAGTCAAAAATGTTCCCAGACTTATCGTATTTGTTGTTGGCGGTTTAAGTATGTCTGAAATGAGATGTGCTTACGAAGTTACCAATTCAGTTCGCAATTGGGAAGTATTGGTGGGCTCTTCGCACGTATTATCTCCTGAAATCTTTTTAAGTGATTTGGGAAGTCTTTCAAAGGAAGATTAACTAGTTTTATTTAGCATTGAAAAAATATAAACCTATTTACGATTTAGAATTGTTTTAGAAGTTTAATATATTGTACACTATATTATTCTTAAAAAAATATTTAAAAAATATGCATACTCCTATTCAAGTCAAATATGCAATTCAACTAAAGTTTTGATGGCGTGTTGTACTCCAGTATTTATAACTTTCATCTATAGATTATCTTACTTAAATTCTTTGTTACTTGAAATAAAATCAATATATATAAAATTTTCGTGTCACAGTTTTTATTACCATACTCCTCCGAAACGGCTATACCGACTCTCATGAAATTTTGTGAGCGTATTTAGTAATATCGTATTGATGAGCGTATTATCCTCTTAAATCCTGTTCGACATACCAAAAATCGCATATAATGTGAGTTACTACCTCATCATACTGAAAAACTCACGCTACCATAGAACATAAACTCAATTTAAAAGGGGAAAAATTCTTAATTATTAGGTAAATACATTAATTCTAGTTGTGAGTGTTTTGTACAGTGAACAATGCCAAGGAAACGCGAAGTGGGTAATTTGATCAATTTTAGAATAGCGCAATTGCGTTAAGAAGAGCCAGAAGATACACGAGCTGAACGCAATGTCAGAAGATTAGAGCAACGACAATCACGTCGTTTCACAGTCAATAGACGCAGAACAAATGACCAACAACGACAACAGGAACATCGAGCATTTATATCTGATTCATTCCTGCGTCTAGCGTGTGATTCATTCCAGTGTGTGTGTGGCAGAGCTCGGGCAGAGAAATTTTCTATGCCCTCGGGATAGGGCCGTGCCGACCTCTGTTTTAAAGTAAGCCCTAGATAGAATCCATACCAAAAACAGACCTGAAGAATAAGGATAGTATAGGGTATATCTGATCTCATTGCTCTCACACTGGTTCAATTTGAACGTTTCAAACTTTCATCGTTCCAAAGATGTTACGATTTAAAAATATAATTCTCTCTTTCCCTCTTTCATCTGCCAGACGTTTGTAGTGGAACCCGCTCTCAAATGTTTTCATTTTTATAGCGGGTTCCACGACGGAAAAAAATAAAAACATCTGAGAGCGGGTTCCACGACGCGGCCTGCCAAAATGCCGTAGAACCCGCACTTACAGACATTTTTAAAGCGGGTTCAACTACAAACTGAGACGATGTTAAGGCGATTTTAAAATTTTGTATTATTTTTTAATAGATTTTAAATTTAGATAAACACATTAAAAGAATAAAAATATCGTTCGTTCCAGCGGGTTCCAGCGCTGGAACCCGCCATAGAAAATTTTTCTTTGTATGAGATGTCCTGTCCCATCTATTTACTTTATAATCATTGGTATGATATACATTTTTTGGTATGTCGTATGCATATAAAATTTGTATACAGAATTTGTCCAACTACGAAAAAGTTCGTATCATCGCTCTTTATGTGATGATTAAAAATGGAATTTCGGAGGAAAATCTAACTAAACTCTTTACACACGCCCAGTTGTCCTCTAAAGATCAGGATATGGTCAGAAATCTGAGTTATTTGGGAATTAATGTCATTGCTGATGTAAGTAAAGTCATATTTTTTAAACGCAAATAAAAGCTAGTTAATTATTCTTTTCAGTCACGAAAAAGTTGTACTCTGTTCCACGAAAGGAAAGGATAACAGAAAGTACCTATCAGATGTCTCGTTGGACACCAGTAATAAAAGACATCATGGAGGATTGCATAGAAGATAAGCTAGATTTGCGTCATTTTCCTTTTCTTGAAGACCGAGCACAAAATACTAATTACCACGCGCCAACGAGTGCTCGATACGGCCACTGGCATAAAGACAAAGGCCAGACTCAAGTCAAAAATGTTCCCAGACTTATCGTATTTGTTGTTGGCGGTTTAAGTATGTCTGAAATGAGATGTGCTTACGAAGTTACCAATTCAGTTCGCAATTGGGAAGTATTGGTGGGCTCTTCGCACGTATTATCTCCTGAAATCTTTTAAAGTGATTTGGGAAGTCTTTCAAAGGAAGATTAACTAGTTTTATTTAGCATTGAAAAAATATAAACCTATTTACGATTTAGAATTGTTTTAGAAGTTTAATATATTGTACACTATATTATTCTTAAAAAAAATATTTAAAAAATATGCATACTCCTATTCAAGTCAAATATGCAATTCAACTAAAGCTTTGATGGCGTGTTGTACTCCAGTATTTATAACTTTCATCTATAGATTATCTTACTTAAATTCTTTGTTACTTGAAATAAAATCAATATATATAAAATTTTCGTGTCACAGTTTTTATTACCATACTCCTCCGAAACGGCTATACCGACTCTCATGAAATTTTGTGAGCGTATTTAGTAATATCGTATTGATGAGCGTATTATCCTCTTAAATCCTGTTCGACATACCAAAAATCGCATATAATGTGAGTTACTACCTCATCATACTGAAAAACTCACGCTACCATAGAACATAAACTCAATTTAAAAGGGGAAAAATTCTTAATTATTAGGTAAATACATTAATTCTAGTTGTGAGTGTTTTGTACAGTGAACAATGCCAAGGAAACGCGAAGTGGGTAATTTGATCAATTTTAGAATAGCGCAATTGCGTTAAGAAGAGCCAGAAGATACACGAGCTGAACGCAATGTCAGAAGATTAGAGCAACGACAATCACGTCGTTTCACAGTCAATAGACGCAGAACAAATGACCAACAACGACAACAGGAACATCGAGCATTTATATCTGATTCATTCCTGCGTCTAGCGTGTGATTCATTCCAGTGTGTGTGTGGCAGAGCTCGGGCAGAGAAATTTTCTATGCCCTCGGGATAGGGCCGTGCCGACCTCTGTTTTAAAGTAAGCCCTAGATAGAATCCATACCAAAAACAGACCTGAAGAATAAGGATAGTATAGGGTATATCTGATCTCATTGCTCTCACACTGGTTCGATTTGAACGTTTCAAACTTTCATCGTTCCAAAGATGTTACGATTTAAAAATATAATTCTCTCTTTCCCTCTTTAATCTGCCAGACGTTTGTAGTGGAACCCGCTCTCAAATGTTTTCATTTTTATAGCGGGTTCCACGACGGAAAAAATGAAAACATCTGAGAGCGGGTTCCACGACGCGGCCTGCCAAAATGCCGTAGAACCCGCACTTATAGACATTTTTAAAGCGGGTTCAACTACGAACTGAGACGATGTTAAGGCGATTTTAAAATTTTGTATATTTTTTTAATAGAATTTATATTTAAATAAACACATTAAAAGAATAAAAATATAATATAAATAGATTTAAAATGTAAAAAAATGGATGTCCCGAGCCTGGTTTGAACTCGTTTTACTTTGCACATCAGCCAAGCACTCTACCACTCGGCTATTCCTCATTCTTTGTCGCGCGAAAAATTTCTCAAACTTAACTTGTCGCGCTGTGGAACCCGTTCGTTCCAGCGGGTTCCAGCGCTGGAACCCACCATAGAAAATTTTTCTTTGTATGAGATGTCCTGTCCCATCTGTGTACTTTATAATCATTGGTATGATTTACATTTTTTGGTATGTCGTATGCATATAAAATTTTTATACAGAATGTGTCCAACTACGACAAAGTTCGTATCATCGCTCTTTATGTGATGATTAAAAATGGAATTTCGGAGGAAAATCTAACTAAACTCTTTACACACGCCCAATTGTCCGCTAAAGATCAGGATATGGTCAGAAATCTGAGTTATTTGGGAATTAATGTCATTGCTGATGTAAGTAAAGTCATATTTTTTAAACGCAAATAAAAGCTAGTTAATTATTCTTTTCAGTCACGAAAAAGTTGTACTCTGTTCCACGAAAGGAAAGGATAACAGAAAGTACCTATCAGATGTCTCGTTGGACACCAGTAATAAAAGACATCATGGAGGATTGCATAGAAGATAAGCTAGATTTGCGTAATTTTCCTTTTCTTGAAGGCCGAGCACAAAATACTAATTACCACGCGCCAACGAGTGCTCGATACGGCCACTGGCATAAAGACAAAGGCCAGACACAAGTCAAAAATGTTCCCAGACTTATCGTATTTGTTGTTGGCGGTGTAAGTATGTCTGAAATGAGATGTGCTTACGAAGTTACCAATTCAGTTCGCAATTGGGAAGTATTGGTGGGCTCTTCGCACGTATTATCTCCTGAAATCTTTTTAAGTGATTTGGGAAGTCTTTCAAAGGAAGATTAACTAGTTTTATTTAGCATTGAAAAAATATAAACCTATTTACGATTTAGAATTGTTTTAGAAGTTTAATATATTGTACACTATATTATTCTTAAAAAAATATTTAAAAAATATGCATACTCCTATTCAAGTCAAATATGCAATTCAACTAAAGCTTTGATGGCGTGTTGTACTCCAGTATTTATAACTTTCATCTATAGATTATCTTACTTAAATTCTTTGTTACTTGAAATAAAATCAATATATATAAAATTTTCGTGTCACAGTTTTTATTACCATACTCCTCCGAAACGGCTATACCGACTCTCATGAAATTTTGTGAGCGTATTTAGTAATATCGTATTGATGAGCGTATTATCCTCTTAAATCCTGTTCGACATACCAAAAATCGCATATAATATGAGTTACTACCTCATCATACTGAAAAACTCACGCTACCATAGAACATAAACTCAATTTAAAAGGGGAAACATTCTTAATTATTAGGTAAATACATTAATTCTAGTTGTGAGTGTTTTGTACAGTGAACAATGCCAAGGAAACGCGAAGTGGGTAATTTGATCAATTTTAGAATAGCGCAATTGTGTTAAGAAGAGCCAGAAGATACACGAGCTGAACGCAATGTCAGAAGATTAGAGCAACGACAATCACGTCGTTTCACAGTCAATAGACGCAGAACAAATGACCAACAACGACAACAGGAACATCGAGCATTTATATCTGATTCATTCCTGCGTCTAGCGTGTGATTCATTCCAGTGTGTGTGTGGCAGAGCTCGGGCAGAGAAATTTTCTATGCCCTCGGGATAGGGCCGTGCCGACCTCTGTTTTAAAGTAAGCCCTAGATAGAATCCATACCAAAAACAGACCTGAAGAATAAGGATAGTATAGGGTATATCTGATCTCATTGCTCTCACACTGGTTCGATTTGAACGTTTCAAACTTTCATCGTTCCAAAGATGTTACGATTTAAAAATATAATTCTCTCTTTCCCTCTTTCATCTGCCAGACGTTTGTAGTGGAACCCGCTCTCAAATGTTTTCATTTTTATAGCGGGTTCCACGACGGAAAAAATAAAAACATCTGAGAGCGGGTTCCACGACGCGGCCTGCCAAAATGCCGTAGAACCCGCACTTATAGACATTTTTAAAGCGGGTTCAACTACAAACTGAGACAATGTTAAGGCGATTTTAAAATTTTGTATTATTTTTTAATAGATTTTAAATTTAGATAAACACATTAAAAGAATAAAAATATCGTTCGTTCCAGCGGGTTCCAGCGCTGGAACCCGCCATAGAAAATTTTTCTTTGTATGAGATGTCCTGTCCCATCTATTTACTTTATAATCATTGGTATGATATACATTTTTTGGTATGTCGTATGCATATAAAATTTGTATACAGAATGTGTCCAACTACGACAAAGTTCGTATCATCGCTCTTTATGTGATGATTAAAAATGGAATTTCGGAGGAAAATCTAACTAAACTCTTTACACACGCCCAGTTGTCCTCTAAAGATCAGGATATGGTCAGAAATCTGAGTTATTTGGGAATTAATGTCATTGCTGATGTAAGTAAAGTCATATTTTTTTAAACGCAAATAAAAGCTAGTTAATTATTCTTTTCAGTCACGAAAAAAGTTGTACTCTGTTCCACGAAAGGAAAGGATAACAGAAAGTACCTATCAGATGTCTCGTTGGACACCAGTAATAAAAGACATCATGGAGGATTGCATAGAAGATAAGCTAGATTTGCGTCATTTTCCTTTTCTTGAAGATCGAGCACAAAATACTAATTACCACGCGCCAACGAGTGCTCGATACGGCCACTGGCATAAAGACAAAGGCCAGACTCAAGTCAAAAATGTTCCCAGACTTATCGTATTTGTTGTTGGCGGTTTAAGTATGTCTGAAATGAGATGTGCTTACGAAGTTACCAATTCAGTTCGCAATTGGGAAGTATTGGTGGGCTCTTCGCACGTATTATCTCCTGAAATCTTTTTAAGTGATTTGGGAAGTCTTTCAAAGGAAGATTAACTAGTTTTATTTAGCATTGAAAAAATATAAACCTATTTACGATTTAGAATTGTTTTAGAAGTTTAATATATTGTACACTATATTATTCTTAAAAAAAATATTTAAAAAATATGCATACTCCTATTCAAGTCAAATATGCAATTCAACTAAAGCTTTGATGGCGTGTTGTACTCCAGTATTTATAACTTTCATCTATAGATTATCTTACTTAAATTCTTTGTTACTTGAAATAAAATCAATATATATAAAATTTTCGTGTCACAGTTTTTATTACCATACTCCTCCGAAACGGCTATACCGACTCTCATGAAATTTTGTGAGCGTATTTAGTAATATCGTATTGATGAGCGTATTATCCTCTTAAATCCTGTTCGACATACCAAAAATCGCATATAATGTGAGTTACTACCTCATCATACTGAAAAACTCACGCTACCATAGAACATAAACTCAATTTAAAAGGGGAAAAATTCTTAATTATTAGGTAAATACATTAATTCTAGTTGTGAGTGTTTTGTACAGTGAACAATGCCAAGGAAACGCGAAGTGGGTAATTTGATCAATTTTAGAATAGCGCAATTGCGTTAAGAAGAGCCAGAAGATACACGAGCTGAACGCAATGTCAGAAGATTAGAGCAACGACAATCACGTCGTTTCACAGTCAATAGACGCAGAACAAATGACCAACAACGACAACAGGAACATCGAGCATTTATATCTGATTCATTCCTGCGTCTAGCGTGTGATTCATTCCAGTGTGTGTGTGGCAGAGCTCGGGCAGAGAAATTTTCTATGCCCTCGGGATAGGGGCCGTGCCGACCTCTGTTTTAAAGTAAGCCCTAGATAGAATCCATACCAAAAACAGACCTGAAGAATAAGGATAGTATAGGGTATATCTGATCTCATTGCTCTCACACTGGTTCGATTTGAACGTTTCAAACTTTCATCGTTCCAAAGATGTTACGATTTAAAAATATAATTCTCTCTTTCCCTCTTTAATCTGCCAGACGTTTGTAGTGGAACCCGCT